TAGGGAAGTCAAGTGCTTTTGCTCACTTGTTTCTGTGTCAGACCTTTGAGCTCACATGTGCCTGGGCAGCTTACTACACTTCGTAAAGCCGATGGCTCCTAAGTTTTTAATAGAACTTCTGTAAATTACTAGTGTCTGATAAATGCCTTCGTTTTAGATCAAATGATTTCATATTTGTGCTTGTTCTAGGGTATGGAAAAAAATAGGTAGTTTACTAAGTGTTCATTTGTTTAAATGATTTAGGGGTTGTTCAAGGAATGATAACAGGAATTCGAGGATTATGCAATGGTCTGGGACCAGCCCTCTATGGATTCATCTTCTACATATTCCATGTAGAACTTAAAGAACTGCCAATAACAGGAACAGACCTGGGAACAAACACAAGCCCGCAGCACCACTTTGAACAGGTAATTGTCCATTCACGTGACAAAAACGTATAGTTTGGCTGGATTAAAAGATGATTTTTCTCATCCCAAAAACTTTTATGTGAGATTCTTATTAATATTATAGACTGAATAAAACATTTAAAAAACCAAAGTAAGGGACTGTATTCTCCCATATGCCTTCATGAAATGGGCTATACGTGAAATTGGCTTCTTTTCTCCCTTAAGAAGGAAAAATTATTTAAAATATCTAGTTTGGGAAACCACCTAATGGCATGTGTAAGAGCCATTTCTCTATAACCCTGCTTATCTTTTATCTGAGACTTTTGTAATGGTACAGTTCCCTATATTAAGCTTGTTCTGTATGAAAAGTCAGTTATGTGCTGGCAGTATCTTTGTTCAAACACTTGTTTGTTTGCTCAAATTCCCTCCTTACAAGTGAAAATATTAATGCCAGACAACATTGATCATTTTTACCAATACAAACAGGTCATTGTTTTGCTGGCTTATTTAACAGAGTTCCACACTCATCTTCCAACCAGCTAAGACTACTTTTAAATTAAAAAAAAAAAAACAAAAACACAGCGTTTGTTTGTGGGCTACCCACAAGTAAAACTGGTAGGGCAAGTTTTTGCTAAGAATAAACAAACATAATTTTGAGTTCAAACAAAGGTCTGTTTCTTTTCATGGTAAACCTGTTTTTTCCTCACCTTCAATCACTTAATTACCTTTTTGAAACAAAGAAGATTATATTGATTATGTTATTGTAGCCAATATTGTACGCTACTTGATTTTACTTTTCAGTTCTTCCTATAAATATTTCCCTCTGGGACTAAGTGAAAGCTTTTGTCTTTGTTCAGATTTAGTGCTGAAAAGTGACAATATGTGTTTTAATAGGCTGTTTCGCCAGGTGTTACCCTCAGAATGTTATGTTGAGAGTATCATAATGTCCCTTTAGGCTTGTAATTCACAGTAATCAGTTATTACTAAAAGATAAGCAGTTTCTTCTTATGAATAAACATTTTTGTGTAAAAATCCTAATTATTTTATTTTTCCTCAGAATTCCATCATCCCTGGTCCCCCTTTCCTATTTGGAGCCTGTTCGGTACTGCTGGCTCTGCTTGTTGCCTTGTTTATTCCAGAACATACCAATTTAAGTTTAAGGTCCAGCAGTTGGAGAAAGCACTGTGGCAGTCACAGCCATCCTCACAGTACACAAGCGCCAGGAGAGGCCAAAGAACCTTTACTCCAGGACACAAACGTGTGACGACGAAATCAGGAAGATTTTTCTATCAGCACCCAGGTCTTAGTTTTCACCTCTAGTCCCGGATGTACATTCCATTTCCATCCACAGTGTACTTAAGATTGTCTTAAGAAATGTATCTGTATGAACTCCGCGGGAACTAAAGAAGGTGGGAAACTAAAGAGTGAACCGGACAGTTTTCCAAAGATGTTACAATTTCTTTTGAAAAGAAACCTTTTGTTTATTAGCACCAGTTTCTTGCCACTAAGCTGTTTGTTTTATTATACATCCTTTAATTAAAAACTATATATGTAACTTCTTAGATATTAGCAAATGTCTCTGCTACCATTTCCTTAAGGTGTTGAGCTTTAACTCTATTTATGCTGACCCTCAGTGAGACAGTAGGTAGTATGGTTGTGGACTTGTTTGTTTTAACATTGTAAAATCCTGAGTCAGATTTTAATATTATAAAATCTTGGGTCAAATAATTCAAAGCCTTAATGCAGATGCACAAAAATAAAAGAAATGGTAAATGAATTGTTTGCATTAAAAAAAAAAAACTCCTAAGAAAATTGTACTAAATCTGAATCATGTTTCAAGCTTGTTTGCAGTAATTTTATTTTAAACATTATTCACGACCGTTTTTTGAAGTGAAAAAGTATCAGCCGTTTAGAATTTCAATTGGGGTGTTCAGAGCCCATAAACCTAAATGTCGGCTCAAATTTGTTCCCCAGATACTTCTTATACCACTATTCTTTTAATGTTTGCATAATCATAAGAACCTCAACACTTGAATACATATTCTAAAAATTATATAGTAAAGCTGGTAGCCTTGAAAATGTCAATGTGATATCTATATGTAGATAAATATATATAGTGGCCTTTCAGGACTGTCACAGTAACACTTTATTTACAGAGCTAATGTTTGTCCTAAATTTTCAGGACCCTAGAGGAGAGCTTTATACAATTACTGATGTGAATTTCTCTAAAGTGTATATTTTTGTGTCCAGTTATATTATTTAAAAAAGTGTTACTTTGTAAAAATTGTACATAAAGTATTGTATAGTTTACACTGTTTTCATCTTGTGTGTGGTTATTGCTTAATGCTTTTTAAATTTGGAACACTCACTATGGTTAAATAAGGTCTTAAAAGAAATGTAAATATTCAATTAATAAAATTAAATATTTTAATGATTTTTTTTTTTAAAGTCTTGATCTGTGAATCCCAACAGGGCCTGTTTTGGCTTTGTTACCAATCAGCATTTGTTTTTACAGTGACAAAACAAAGGTTTATCGCTTCTCTCTTTGAATCCAATTCTTCTCCCTCACTAAAAAATACTCTTATAGGAAGATAAGAGGAAAGAAATGAAAACTTGGTATGTAAATTAATCAGAAGTACTTGATTTTCTAAGCACAGATGTTGCCATCAATCTTATTTCTTTTATATACTCTTTGTGTCATACTCCAAAAGTAAATTTTAATACTTTATTACAAAGCTCACAGTTTACAGAAATAACATTAAATGCAACATTTTGATTATTAACACATGTACATTTTACACTACAAAACAATTTCAAATAAAGGTTTAAGAGGTAGAACAAAGAACACTTGAAAGGCCTGTATATATACATTTAATACAAAAAGAAGCCTTCAGCAAGCTGGTATCAGAATCATACTCATCCTATTTGTAGAAACTGAATTTTCCATGTGTATATATGGAAAGGGATATGTGTATTTTAAAAAGGAGCGCTCTGTGTGTCATGTAGTCCATCCAAAACCTGTCACAATGTTTTGTATATATTACATAGTATTTACAACAAACCAGGTTTCCAAGTATCTCAAGAGGCGTCTTTCCAGAACAGTAAGTGCTTTCAAGTAATTCTAACTAAATATTCTTACTTTACTAATATAGTCTATCTAAATGAGGGAAGGGGAGTCTGACATTAGTTACTGAATTGTCAGATTAGATCCCTAGTTCAAGACAGTTTGGAACTGTCAGCAATTTTATTTTATTTATTTATTTTTGTTGTTGCGGTTTTTGGCTGGGGCCAGGTTTAAAACCACCACCTCCAGTATATGGGGCCAGCGCTGCCCAATTATCAGCAATTTTAAAGAATTAGACTCAGATAGTGGCTTCATAAAAAAAATGTTAGCAAAGATTCTTTGCCTTACCATGGAACCCAGTTAGTATGTCATTAATGTCTCACAATGTCTTTTTCCTTAACTATAATAAAGTACTTGAATATAATTTTTAAATTAACACATGAGCATCAACAACAATTGATTTGGAGGATATAAGAGAAAGCTACTAGGTATTTGGATGGTTGTCAGTAAGAAAACAGAGGGGCTCTATGATTCTGGGAGAATTTTTTATGATTCTGGGGGAATTTTTTTAAATCACCTAATTTTTCCAAGAAATAATTTTCTTTAAACTTTTACTTACAAGGACAAAAAGAAAGTTGTAACTTCGAAGAGTTATTTGTTTTGCCTACTTCATTAACATTAAAATCAACCAAAGATTTGATATAAAAACTTAGTTTGAAAATTCATGATGCTCTTAAAGATTTCATATGGTGCCAATTTTTAAAATAAAATTCCACTGATACAGATTTAACCGAATAACTAATAAAAATCCAAATTGAGAAAAACTGGGTAAGTGAAAACTTTTCAGGAAGCACTAAAATCTTTTCAGCTCAGATGTAAAGCACTTTATACCTAATCTGGTCATAGAAATACACTGTCCAAATTATTTTTACAGATGTATCAGATTTATTTAGTGGATTCATTCAATAACTATTTCAAAGAAAATATTCATTTACTTGCTATTCAGGCTTAATTCATTTCAGTCATTTAAGGTAAATTTAGGACTTTTCCCTTTAATGTAAATGTCATCATTAATATATAAGATATCTTAGAAGAATCCTTTTCCCGCATAATTTCGGTGGCAAATTTAAAACTTTTACCAATGAAAATGAATTACTAGCATTCTTTGGTTTCACACTATTATCATTACATTCTGAGCAGGTTTTAATTTACTCAGATTTTCAATATGATTAGGGTCTCCCTTATAAGGGTCAACTCTTTCCTTAGAACTGAATCTCTAAGGGTTATTAGATTAATATTACCTATAAAACACCATTTTGACAAACCAAAGGTCATTTACTCAGAATCTTTACCAATCCCTGAGTACAAATTTGTTCCTATAAACTCTGCCATAAATGACAGCAGTGCTTTAAATAAAGAATCCAAACAGTCTTAACAGTTGTTGAAGTAAAATCTGAAACTTACTTGTTCAGGATTTGATTTCTGTTAACACATTTTTAAACCACCTGAGTTTCTAAAATCTCAATAAAAAGTAAACCATGACCCTAGAATTAACTGTTTGGTAACTGCCCAGGGAAATACGCTGAAGACGCAGAGGGGAGCCCTGTGGGTTTGGAGGCTGTCGGCAGTGCTCCCAGAGTGCCATCTTTCTGATGGTCTGCAAATGAGGACACAAAAAAGATGACCAGTACTTAGTCTTTGTTTATACTTTTAAGTAAACCATAATGTACAATCCAATTCAGAAAGGCCTTCTCACCTGAATTACTGAACAGATTCTGGCTGAGTCCGCGTAAAGGAATGCTGTCTTCCCTTTTCTTCAGGTATTTGGATTCCAGCCCTAAGTTTTCACCACTCAAGAGGAAAATAATAACTTATTTAACAAGAGCAAGTCTTAAGTTTAGTAATTTTGAAGTGTATGCATATACTCTGTATCATTAAGTTACATTTACAGCTTAACTTTATTCAGATCAGATTCTTCACTAGTTTCCTAAGCAGATAATTTATCTACATTTAAATCAAAAAGTGTTCTCAGTAGATAGTAAATTATAACAAGTTAAAAATTCTAAGAGCTGAGATAAGGACTGTGGAAGAAATGGAAATTTTACATACTATAAAATTTTAAATACTAGCACAGAAGTGATAACATATGTGCATGCCTTGAGAATATCACTATTAATTTCTATCTCATTCTGTATTTCAAATGAATAAGATTTATTTTTCCTTTAACCAAAAGCTCTTCAAAATTTTGTAGTGCTTTAAAGTAATCATTGTCAAATACTATAATGAACTCTGAGCAGATGGATAAAAATGTGAAATTTTGGAAAACAAAAACAGAATATCTCTATTTTTCTCCATCCAACCACTATATTCCTTCTTTCTAAATCTGTTCAGTGTTAAGTTTCCCTAGTAGTACACTTGTAATATGAAGTAAAAAGGTCTTGCAAAACAATGACAGTATATCCTTAAAATTAAATGCTGTTATCGTTTTCCAATTTTCAAAAAAGTGAGTGAATAGGCATTTTTTCCCAATTTTAACTTTTTTCTCAACCTTGATATCCCACTACCACTTTTTGCTAGTTGACAACAAATAAACCAAAAGAAACTCAAAATCTCTAAATAGTCCTTATTTTATGCACAGATGTTTCATTTTGTAATGTAAATATGATCGTCATGTTTCCTGGTAATAAAATTCCTCTTGGTGTGTATGATGAATTAAATATACAGTATAAACATTATTGTTCTCTACTATTAACAGGAATACCAGGTGCTGCGCCTTGTGAACAAGTGTGAGATTAAATAGAACAAATACATACATTACAATGTCTCTAAGAATTCTCATCTTTTTAAAAAGAGAAGTTCATAAACATTAAAAATTTTAATACTCATCCTAATGGCAATTTCAAAAGACCTAAAGAAGACCTAGAAAGCTAGAATAAGAACCCTCTTTGAACTATTAGTAATTTAGTTTATAATGTACTTAGATTGTAGTTCATAATGAGTCTCAGCAGACAGGCATTAAAGCTTATTACATTTTAAGTAAATAACCGTGATGATAAAAAAAAAAAATGACAAACATGAACTCCACCGAGAAAGAAAAGTCTGCTGGTATGTGTTGTTTAATTTAACCACAAGTCACCGAGTCAACAAACTTTACTATGTAACTCCTATTTAAGACCTAAAAGCTAGGGAAAGAATCTGAGGAGGCAGAACAAGTCACAAATTGGCATTAATGCTTATTCACGTTACCTGTGGGACAATTTCCCAAACCTTTTTACTCTTAGTCATCATATATTTCTAGCAGATTAACTTGCTGGTTTCTTAGATTATGTTACACTGGAAGTAATAAATCAGGAAGATGGTGCACTTCCAGCGGCAGAGATACCATGTGAGAAAACGGAAACAAAGATAGCTGACCAGGACTAATTTTTTAAAGTTTTCTATGTATACGGCCAAGAATACTTAAAAGGACAATCTTCAGTTATGTAGGAAAATCTATTAAGACAAATAAAATTCTACTATATGTCTATGAGTATTCCACAGTTAAAAATAGATGAGAAATCTTTTTTTCACAAAGATTCAAAATTCTACTTATCAGTAACTTAAAATGTATCAGATATATAGGTGGGCACCATAGCTTTCAACACTACTGGTAAAAATTCTATTAGATAACCTTCAAAAGTGCGAACATTACTTACTAATCATCAGTAAGTACTTACTTTTCCTTATCTGCTGAGCAAGTTGCTCCTGATTGAACATCTCCTACTGATGTATTTGGTTTTGTAAACTGCAAGTTAAACTGAACCTGTAAAGAAGCGAAACATCATATAACTGAATTAGTGAGAACTGAAAACAATGCTATATTGATAGGTGGTGAAATTAATTTTCTATAAATCTAGAAACAAAAATACAGGTTTCAATATTTTATAACATATTCTATTGAGAACATTAAATAAAAAGAATCCTATTTTTCCTTGCCAAAAAAGTACGTGTCATAGGAGCAAGATGAATAAAATGATTCCCTTAATTGTTTAGAAATAAAAGCATGAACATTAAATCATCCAAATAAGTTTTATAGAATTACCAAGCACTATAATAATGAATTTATCTCATGCATTCTGAAAATTCTTTTCTTTCCACAACTTTCAAAGCTTATGTTAGGTTTACCTAAGAATTCTAGGCCAAGAACAGTGGCTCACACATGTGAACCTACCATTCTGGGAGGCCAAGTGGATCATCTGAGCCTAGGAATTCGAGACCAGCCTGAGCAAGAACAAGACCCCGTCTTTACCAAAAATAGAAAAACCGAGCTAGGCATTGTGGTAGATGCCTGTAGTCACAGCTACTCTGAAGGCTGAGGCAAGAGGACCGCATGAGCTCAAGAGTTTGACACTGCTGTAAACTATGACACCACGGCACTCTCCCCAGGACGACAGAGTGAGACTCTGTCTCTGTGAAAATCAGAATTTAGGGAGGTTGGGTGCTGAAGGCTGCCAGGCTGAGTTCTGAGGAGAAGGGAGCTACACAGAGAATACTCCCTAGAAATCTGCCTGTTGATCTCCCTGAGTCTTTGCTGGGTACTAGGCCTATTCATATGGTGAAACTCCACCAGGATGGGTAAATAAGATAGGAGCATTTTAAACTGAATAATTTCCTAGGTTCATAAGCAGAGAGTCCTGGGCTAGAGTGGAGAGCCATGAAGGATACACCTTTGTATTAGGGCTGAACTGTCCCTTGAGTAGAAGGTACTTTAGATGCTCCCTGGTAAAGCTAAAGAGAGGGAGGTGGGGAACATTTAAGTGAGCATTAGAATCTATACCACATGTAAAAGGGAGTAAACAATAGGGCGGTGCCTGTGGCTCAAAAGGGCAGGGGTGCCGGTCCCATATGCTGGAGGTGGCGGGTTCAAACACAGCCTGGGCTAAAAACTGGAAAAAAAAAAAAAATGAAGTGAATAAATAAATGAACAGTCTCAATGGGACAGTATTATGTGATCAAACAGGTAAAACTGGAGTGCCAGGGAGCACCAAAAGGAAAGAAGGTAATAGGAAAAAATATAAGAAAATAAGGACCAGAATTTCCTCAACTGACAAAAACTATACACACATCCATTGAAGAACTTCACAAAAGCCCAAGTGAATATTATTATACACATGTAACACCAAGACACATCACAATTAGAATACTGAAAGTTAATGCTAAAGAGAAAATCATAAAAACATCCAAAGAACCACTTTATATACAAGAATAGTGATAAACATGGAAGGACATTTTCAAAATGTAGAAAAGAGAAACTCAATCCAGAATTCTAAATGAGAAAATGAAGGAAAAAGAACATTCTGAGACAAATGCCGAAAGACTGCCCGCAGACCTGCACTGTAAGAGATCTTGAAAGATTCGAACTGTAAGAGATCTTAAAATTATTGAGAGCAGAAAATGATACCAGACAAAGACAGATCTACCTAAAGGAATAAAGAGTATATAAATAGTTAATGGGGACAGGTGCAATGGCTCACGCCTGTAATACTAGCACTGTGATGGTGGATTGCATGAGCTCAGGAGTTCGAGACCAGCCTGAGCAAGAGTGAGACACCACCTCTACTAAAAAGAAAAAAACTAGGGCCAGGTGTGGTGGCTCACGCCTGAAATCCTAGCACTCTGGGAGGCCAAGGTGGGTGAACAGCCTGAGCTCAGGAGTTTGAGAGCAGCCTGAGCCAGACCCTATCTCTAAAAAAACCAGACAGATGTAGTGGGTGCCTGTAGTCCCAGTTACTGCAGAGGCTGAGACAAGAGGATCATTTGAGCCCAATAGTTTGAGGTTGCTATGAGCTATGATGCCACAAAGTAGACTCTGTCTCAAAAACAAATCAGTAAATGGAAGGGTAAACTAAAACTTCTCTTCATTGTTTAATTTCTTTAAAATATACTTGATTAAAGCCAAAAAAAAAAAATACTGGGGTTTATAATAAACACAAGTAAAATTTTGACAACCATAGCAAAAGGATGGAGAAAATGGAAGTATATTAAAGGTTCTTACTTTACATGGAAAATAGTATACTATTGTGTGAAGGTTGATTATGATGACATATTATATACCAGAGCAAGCATGAAGAAAATACAACATAGTCAATAGTGGAAACAAAACGTACAAAATTGGGAAAAGGCAGGAAAAACGTAGTAAAGCGTAGACAAGGAACAGACGGGACATACAGAAAACAAAGGGCAAAAAGATAAACCTCATTATTATATGTACTAAATTTTAAATAGCTTAAGACTTCTGAAAATTCTTTTCTTTCCACAACTTTCAAAGCTTATGTTAGGTTTACCTAAGAATTCTAGGCCAAGAGCAGTGGCTCACACATGTGAACCTACCATTCTGGGAGGCCAAGTGGATCATCTGAGCCTAGGAATTCCAGACCAGCCTGAGCAAGAACAAGACCCTGTCTTTACCAAAAATAGAAAAACCGAGCTAGGCATTGTGGTAGATGCCTGTAGTCACAGCTACTCTGAAGGCTGAGGGTTAAAAAGTAATGCAAGAAGAATCAATTAAATACATCTAAATATTCTTTACATAATAGTATTCTCAGCATAAAAACTCAGGTTTATTTCTTATTTCATTGAGAATTCTCTATAGCTCTATAGATGACAATAAGGCTAAAAGGAGTACATGCCTAAGCAAGACAGCCAACTTATTTTTAGAAGAACCCAGATCTAATTTGACAAGGTGTTTGTAATACCATTTTCAAAATCCTCAGTTCTAACTTTTATCAAGTTTTTTTCATAAATCTTTTCTCCATGATTTAGGAAAAAATCAACTTGGACCTGAAGTAAGGAATAAAAATAAGAGCAGTGACTGATCTGATTGGATTAAATTATTGTGAGAATAAAATTATAATACATATGATAACAATATATATTTCTTAATGGTACCTATCTATAAATAAATAAGTATATATATAAATCTAAGACATTAGTAATAATAGTGATGGTGAAGAACTCCAGTGGATAGAAGAAAGCCTTAACAAGTAAGTCAAGGGTTGGAGGGTCATTTCTCATTTGAGACAATGTTGCGAGAACTACATTGTAGAACTTGCCCTATCAGACCTTTAAATTCTGCCAACAGACTCCAAAAATGTTACCAGAGCTAATACTCCAGCAGTATGTTCAAATTAGTAATCTTAGTTATACTTAACAGTGGAAAGAGATATAAGCAGAAGAATGACTAAAAATGGAGAGGATGCAGAGAAATAAATAAGGTTATTATTTGTAATAATAAAGCAGATTGATATCCAGCTTTTTATAAATTATAGTGACTCAAGAAATACAATGCATATACTTTGTATCACATATATATTATTCAGTAATATATTACCCTATATTCAGCAAGTGACCAAAGAAAAAAAAATGAACTGCTAAAAGAGAAAAATATTTGTATGCTAATAAATTGCTATATTTTTCCGAAAAAGCATTAATTTAGCTACCTTTGGTCCTGTAATCGGGTGGACGGTATTTTTGGCAGATACTGAATGAGGAAAGGTATTCTGGAATGCAAATGCAGAGGAGACAGGATAGCCAATCCCACAAGTGGGGTAAGTCAGTCTGCCATCAACCTAAAAATGATTAAAAATGAGAAATTAATTAAAACCATACCTGTTAAACAGGAGGCATCAGCACCTGTTATGACAACTAACCGTTCAGAGCACTGTCCCAGAGGCCAATTGTGGCTTATCACACCACAAAACTCTCCTTTATTATACATGAGGCTGGGGTATCTTTAGCCAGAGGGCTTTTCGGAGTGGTTGTGCAACCTCAGATAAAACAAACTACTGGGCCAGCCCTGGTGTGTGTAGTTAATACCAAGACTTAGGGCAATCTTGTGTCACTCTAGGTTTACTAAAAATGAGGGGAATGTGGGTGTGGAGTCCTAGGTCAATAGACCAACCAAAGATAAAATAAAAATAATTTTCTGCTGGACTGAGTAAAAATAATATCAATTTTCTTGAATGGACTAAGATAATAATTGGCTTAGCCACTAATGTTCAATATACTGGCACCACCATTAACCGATGTTATAAAAACAGTTTATTTTTATAAGGAGAGGCCACTTGAAACACAAATTTTGAGAAGCATTCGTGCACACCAATGGCTGCGCAACAAAAATTCCTTTCACACAGCTGTTTATCATCAGTCATTCACGATTAAGCCAAAATTTCAAGTCTGTACTTCAGACTCAAGCACTTTTGCACCTTTTTCCAATTTAGCAACAATCCCTTCCCTTCTTTAAATTAGAAAATACTATCTGATTTAACAGAGTAGATTAAAAATTCAATTAGGCATCTGAATTTTAAGCCCTGTACAAAATGTCTTCCAGCCAAAGGCGACCAGGAATGCCACTACAGATGTATAAGCTAGGCTTACTGCTCCTCGTAACAGGGAACTACACACCATGGAGAACCAAGGGTGTCTTAGTAAGAGGGTGTTAAAAGGAACTTGACGGATTTAGGCAATAAGATCATTTAAGGGAAAGTTTAAGAGGGGTTTTGCTATGGACTGGAAGCTATCAGGAAGTAGAAATAAATACATGACTGAGTATCTGAATAAAATCCACGTTAGGCAGGAGGAAATGTATCAAGGCCAAAGCTATAATTGGTAAAGCAGCAAAAGCCACTCACATTAGCCAGGATAAGAGGATGCATGGCCATTTTTGTGGCTGAAATATGTTTATATTCTTGTCTGTGTTCCAAAATGATTGTAGACTTTGTTTTGTCTGGATCTACCACACTCACAGAGTGGTCTTATCTGCTATTGATACTCTGTGAAATTGTTATGTACAACAGGAGAGCCCCCGAAGCCTGTCTGTGAGGGCCGGGCAAGGGCCGGGCAAGGGCCGGACAAGCCAGCAGCACCTAAGCCGAGCCACTTGATAGTATGAGGACAACTCCAAACGTGAGCAGCTGCTTTTCTTATTCTCCCTTTTTTTCTTGCAAGGAACAAACAAAAGACCTGGTCCAGGGAGCTAGAAAGTTCCCATCTCATACCAGTTTCTTCTAGAATCTCAAACTGACAGGCTGCTCACAGGGCTTTTTTTTTCCTTTCCTTTTTCTGACAGAATTTAGTCTCAGTTTTTTCTATTTTAGTTCCAGACTTAAGCCCAAACCTAAATTCTCTCTTCTTGAAGTCTTCCAAATACATTTGGTGTATGTTTTAAAGTTTTTCAGCATATTTGGCATTACCTTAGTAACGAATGATTTCTATACCCAGTAAAGTTTTATAAGAAAGTGTGCCCTTGAAACACGGCCTCTTTGTTAAGGGCAAGTATACCTTTTCCCACTTCTGGGGGCAACTTAAACTTTACATCAGGGCTTCAGCCTTTATTGGTACCAACACCTTGAGTCATGGAAACTGCCTAACAATTGGGGAATAGTTTTGTTTCAGGGAATTCACTAAGATCACTTGCACCTTATTTTAACCTTACCACATTCAAGTTAGGAGAAATTCCACTTCGGATCGTGTTGCTGCTAGAATGGGAAGGTGGGGTGGTAGATGGTCCCAAGGTGTCTTGCTTTCTCACTAACTGATTCTCATTGAGCTCTTTGTTTAACCACGTGATTACTTCAATAAAAGAAAGAGCAAAGCAAGGAAAGAATTTTGACTGGTTTTTTTTTTAGTCATTGAAAACACTTTAAAGTTTTACTAAAATTGTTTATATTGTAAGTTTTTACAGCCACCTTACATCACAGGAGAACAATACAAATTCACCTAATTTTTTTAATTGAAGATTCTTATTTTAGCAATTGCCACACAAGATTCCTGGTTTTCTTTTTCCGCCAAAGCACATATTTCTGCTAGTCATGGTTTATGACTATGAAAATTTTCTGCTAGTCATGGTTTATGACTTATGAAAATTTTTCACTTCTAAAATATCTTACAGTTTACTTAAGATTCACTATCTTAATGTCGGATATCCAGTACTAGAAACTGAGAACATATTAGTTAAAACTTAATCTTATATTTTAGTCAAACAATTCATATGTTAGATAAACCAATTCCAAAAACAGCAATTTTTTAAAAGGAGTAGTGAAGAATTTAAACAATAAATTATTGTTTAAACACATTAAACACCTTTAATACGGGGTCACTGACACATGGGATATGGCTTTCTTTATAATGATGAAAACTGTTTTACTGGGCAAGTGAAATAATTTACTACAGCAAAGACATTAAGATAGCATATTGAAAGCATAAATTATATTTAGCAATATCTTGATTTACCTACACTTTTATGCATTCAAATAAAATTTTCAGGTTAAGAAAACTATAAGCCTCATTTACATATAAATGTAACATACTTACATTTTTCATTATTTTTTAGAAGCTGTTTGCTTTCTTCAAGTTTTTGAACTGTAGCTTCTAATTGGTCTTGTAACTTGCACACCTGAAAGATGTTAATTCTCACAGTAAGTCAAACAAAATAAAGGTTAAATAAAAAACTGAAGAAATGCATTTACTATTGATTAAATATTAATATTAAATGAGAATAAAGGAATTAGTTCAACTATGCAATAAAATATTTATGTGCATATATACACATAGATATATGAGCAATCAAGGTATTACAGACATGATAACTTTTCAACCTGAAATTGGTTGTTTTGAGTTTTCTCTTTGTTTGTTTGAGACAAAGTGTCACTTTGTCACCCTCAGTACAGTGCTATGGCATCACAACTCACAGCAACCTCAAAGTCTTGGACTTAAGCAGTGATTCTCTTGCCACAGCCTCCGCCTCCCAAGTAGCTGGAACTACAGGTGTCCACCACAAAGCCCGGCAATTTTTACAGATGGGGTCTCATTCTGGTCCAGACTGGTCTTGAACTCATGAGCTCAGGCAATCCACCTGCCTCAGCCTCCCAGAGTGCTAGGATTACAGGCGTGAGCCACCACACCCAGCCTGTTTTTGTTTTTTGTTTGTGAGACAGTGTCTCAACTCTGTTACCCTGTGTAGAGTGCCATGGTGTCATAGCTCATAGCAACCTTAAACTCTTGGGCTTAATTGATCCTCTTGTTTCAGCCTCCCGAGTACCCAGATAGTTTTTCTATTTTTAGTAAAGACAAGGTCTCATTTTTGCTCAGACTGGTCTCAAACTCCTAAATTCAAGCAAAACACCAACCTCAGCCTCCCAGAGGACGAGGATTACAGGCATGAGTCATTGCGCCTGGCCTGAAATAGGTTATTAACTTCTCTTGAATCTGGAGTTCTATTGTTATTTTTTAAAAAAAATGTCCAAAGCCGCTAATATAACAAAATAGAAATTTTCAAAAATATATCTGAGGAAATAAAATAGTAACAACACAAAAAATATAAAATATTAACTACCTCTTGCTCTTTAATTCGAAGAGACTGTCCAACATCTTGTAATTCCTTTTGCTCCTTTTGTAATTTTTCCTCCTTCTCAGCCAAGAGTTTTTCCTGCTGAATAGTAACTGTATTCTTCAGTTTCAACTTACCCATTAGAGTTTTCAGATCCCCTTGTAACTTCTTAATAATTTCATTTGCCTGTAAAAGAACTCATATGTATGTCTCTACATAATCTCATGAAATACTAATATTCTACTAAATTTTAGAAACAAACCTTTAGAAGTTCTGCTGATAATGATTTTATTGTAGCTTCAAGTTTTCCTAGTTGTACTTGATTTTTCTCCCCATTTTCTTCTAAGGCCACCTGAGATATATTTTTAAAACATGAATAATTAGAGCATGTTTACTTGGGAAAGACATTGCATATAAATACGATCATCAATTTCTTTAGGTAAATTTAAAAGTAGACCTTCTGTTCCTGGATTGTATCAAATGCTTCTTTTGTTCTTAAGACAAGTTGGTCCTTATCCTTGATTTCCTGTTCTAAAACTGCCACCTTTGTTTGTAGCTGATTAATCTGCTTTTCTTTCTCATGGCATTCAGCATCGAGGGTAGAATTTTCTCTTCGCAAAGAGATGACTTCTTGCTTAGTTCGCTGCAGCTCCTAAAAAAAAAAAAAAAAAAAAAAAAAAAAATTACACCTTACATATAAGGGAAGTTGGCTGGTCTAGTTATTCTAATTAAGATCTTTAAAATATCCAAAACATCTTTAATAACTGTAAAGTTCTAATGAATATATTTTCTTTTTTATTTCAGATTAATACGAGTGCACAATTATATTACAATGTTTGCATTTGTTAGGTAAAGTCCCTGTTGTAGTTGCGTCCCGCACCCAGATGTGCCATATACCCTCACATTTTGCCTATTAGGTGTAAGCACCCCTCTCTCCTCCCCTCTCTTCCCTCCAACTTGAATTGAATTTTTCCCTTGCGTGGGTATATATTAATTCATCTACTGGCTTCATACATGTTTTCTTAAAAAATATGAAAGTCTTTCTTTGATATTATTTATAGATTTAGAATACAATTATAAAATCCACTACTATTTAATTCAGTTATACCAAAAGAATTTAAGATAATCCCAATTTGTGAATAAATTACAACTTTTAAAAACTTGCAAGAAGAATTTTCTGATTATAAAATCCACTACTATTTAATTCAGTTATACCAAAAGAATTTAAGACAATCCCAATTTGTGAATAAATTACAACTTTTAAAAACTTGCAAGAAGAATTTCCTGACAGCCAAGGATGAGAGCCACAATCTGGAGTTAATGTTTTTCTCTGTTGCTTCTACTACAGATTCTTTTTTAAGGCCTCAGACTATACAGCTTAGAATCTACCTTCTTTATGTAATATATTACAAATATCTTTCCATGTCAATACATTGTTAACATAATTGGATTTCCTTTTGGTTCAGTCTCTAAAGCAAAAACAAATGATAACTGTTAATTAAAAATAGATTTTTAAAAATCTAAAATAGATCACTTCTAAATCATCTAATATCAACCAAAGGGTGGCTGATTCACAGAAGTTCTGTATACAGTATTCCTAGGTTTAGTCTTTAACAAAACTTTAAAAAATAACTTTGCAGCATTATAGTATAGTGGTTGTAGGAGCACAGACTCAAACAGAATTTAAAACCTGGATCTTCTACTGTGTGATCTTTGGAATTACTAAATCTCAATTCCCTCATTTATAAAACAGAAGTGGTAACAAATACTTAATAAATTATTTCATTTAATCTTCATAAAAATCCTTACATAAATTGCCTTGGATACTGGCTGGCATAGAGTAAATAATAAATGAGAGCAATTACTATTTTTAGGGCACTAATACTGAAAAAGTATAATTTAACCAGGTAATCAATACTCAGAGGTAAAAAAACAAAATTCCTAGGACTCATTATTTGCAAGTCTTATGCAAATCTCAGAAGATATATTTTCATTATATTGTACCAAATCAACATAATGAAGACTGTTTATATACTGGCCTTTTTCAGGGCTGAGATAGTCGCATTATAATGAACCTTGTAGACTACTGATATACCATGAAGTCTGAAATGTTTTACTGACTGGCATGAAGGGTGTAAGGAGGAAAAACTGAAAATGTCTACTGTTTATGTCTGATCTAAATATAAAACTGATCAGATATTAGAGCATCGAAGCATGACAGATTGGTGAAATGGAGGTAGAAGTCTTATAACCTGGAATAACATTGGTGATCTTACTATTTAAACATGATAGACTTTAAAATTTACATATTTTTTCTGATAATTCACATGGCAATAATGTATAATAATACTATTAGTCTATCAACAAATGTGCCACCATAGCAAGAGTTTAAAATTTATTGGTTGCCTGAAAAATTAAGGCAATAAAAATGAAAAGCAAATAATAGATAGATTCCAATCCTTGGTCTTCCTTCCACTTATTGGCCATGTGACCTTAGACAGGTAATTTAATGTCTTTGTCCCTTAGTCTCATCATCTGTAAAATGGGGATAATAACAGAACCTACCTTAATGAATTGTGAAAACAGTTAAATGAATTCATATGTGCCTGCCACATAGCAAATGCTCAGTAAGCATTAGTATTACCTTTACTATTACTATTCTTCTTCTTTTTTTTTTGAGACAGAGTCTCAAACTGTCACCCTGGGTAGAGTGCCATGGTGTCACAGCTCACAGCAACCTCAAACTCTTGGACTTAAGTGATTCTTTTGCCTCAGCCTCCTGAGCCTACAGGCACCCGCCACAACACCTCGCTAAGGCTATTTTGTTGTTGTTGTTGTTGTAGTTGTCATTGTTGTTTGGCAGACCCAGGCTGGATTTAAACCCACCAGCTCCGGTGTATGTGGCTGGCGCCCTACCTGCTGAGCTACAGGTGCCGAGCCTACTATTATTCTTCTTATTACTGGACACTAAACTTCATATAATTGTTTGATATGTTGAGTTGGTTGAGGGAAAGAATCAGCCAGGTCAACACTGACACTAAGAGACAAATGCCACACTAATATTAAAAATACACACAAGAGTCTGAGAGCTGTGTCAGTAAGCTGTTTCTTAAAACTCTAACTGAAAATATCCAGGTTCACCTCAGTTCTGTTCTAAATTAGCCTTTTTATAAAATTTCAAATTCTCAATTTTCTATGCATTATCCGAACTGATTACCATTAACACAATAAGAGAACTGTGCAGAGCGTCCAGAAGACCACCACCCACATAAGTAATAAAAAAATCAAAGCATTCTTTTAAATTGGACGGAACGACAGCCACAACATTCAATACCTCTTCAATACCAGAAAGTTTTGCTTTAAGTTCTCTAATAGTGGAGTCTCCTTTATATTTCCTCTCGGTCAGGTCTTTGTTAGCTGCTTCTAACTCAGACAATCTGTTCTGTAGCTGGTGGATGTTCTGTTGATGCAGGATTTCTAAATCTTTTTTCTGTTGCTCATGCTGCTGTTGATATTGAACCTGTGCCTATTATATAATAAAAATACAGTACAAAAGTTCAAAGGAAAAAAATCAGAAATAAAAATACAAAAAGATTAGGGAAAAAATTATCATTTATTCTTTATCATTGTTAGATTTCTCTGTATTGAAAGGGTCTATTTTCAATTCTGAATTTCATGAAAGAGAAAGCAATGTCAACATATGGCAAATTTACCACCATGATCTTATTCATCACTTCTGTTTCTCCTAAAACCACTTATGTTTAGAAGTAACACTCTTAAAGAAAGAATGACACGATTAAGTAAAAAACAAAACAAAACAAAACTTGAAAATAGCACGTATAGTATGAATCTATTTGGGTTAAAAAAAAAATGAATGGGTCCATAAAACTTCCAGTTTTTGCTTTAAACACTATTATAGTATTTCTTTTTTTGTAATTGGTATACATATATATGTTCTAAAACACCTAAAATTACACAATCTACAAGGTTTGTTCATTAGGCCAGTCTCATACTTACTTGTCACATTTTACCAACAATAAAATTTGAACACGGTTGTAACTGTGCAATCTCTAGTGCCTATCTAAATTATCCACAAACCTATCTTAATAATTTGTTAATGAATACTAGCAAACCTAAATACCTTTCAAAAACAGAGTCTATTTTTCTGATTATGAAAGTTAAATATATTTTGAAAAGAAATAAAGTTATACAGTGTATCCATGTAAGAAAAATTCATACTCCTATAATATTTTGAAATAAAAAGGAAAAAAAGTTAAATACACTTAAAAGAAGGCACAAAGAAAATTACAAACAGCCTATAATCTCATTCAGGAAGTTACTCTTAATATTTAGGAATATTTCTACTATTCCAATCATTTATGTATTTATATTGATATTCCACATCCACATACAATGTACAAATTTAAATTCTTAATGAATTAAGATCAAGCTATTTATATAGTTTAATCATGCTTTTTATTCCCTTAGCATATGCACCATCTCACATCATTAAAAAACTCTTTGTAGGCTCGGCGCCTGTGGCTCAAGCGGCTAGGGCACCAGCCACATACACCTAAGGTGGTGTGTTCGACCCCAGCCCGGCCTGCCAAACAACAATGATGGCTGCAACCAAAAAATGGCCGGCGCTGTGGCGGGCGCCTGTAGTCCCAGCTACTTGGGAGGCTGAGGCAGGAGACTCGCTTGAGCCCAGGAGTTGGAGGTTGCTGTGAGCTGTGAGGCCACGGCACTCTACCCAGGGGAATAGCTTGAGGCTCCGTCTCAAAAAAAAAAAACAAAAAAAACTCTTTGTAAATACTTTAATAGCTACACAACACTCCATGCCATGGCTAGTCCATAATTCGTTTAACCCTTCCCCAATTACAGACATTTAGTTTCCGATTTTTCAAAATTGAAAATAAAACTATGATTACCTTTTTGTACATATATGTATATCCAAAATTCATATCATTAAGCTACAATTTCCCATCTTTCCCTATGTATGGCAACTTTAATGGTAACCTCTGGAACACCCTCTAAAGCTGGTAGATGTTCCATAAGCAGTCGTTTTAAAACTTAAGTGTACATAAGAAACACCTGGAGGGCCATTAAATATAGGTTGCTAGGCCTCATTCCCAGAGCCTTGAGACAGTAGGTCGGGGGTAGAATCCAATAACTGGATTTTCGGTAGCCACTGCCATAGAGTACCATTTCCCAAATTAGAACAATTTTGTGACTATACAGAAATCTGTTGAGACAGGTGAGCTGCCTCCCATTTTTGATAATTTCAATAATAATTTCCATCACAGGGAATAAAAGCTACTATATTTCTACATTTGCCACGTCTCTGCTCAAGTGCACATTCAACCTGTGATACCATCTTCAGCTTAAGGCATTTGGAAAGTTAGGACTGTATTCTATTGCTGCATATTTTTTCTTTATGTTTATGCTTATTTCTCATGTTTTCATCATCTCCCGACTTTTAGAAATATACTGAATACTCTTAATTATTTCTACATTGATTTCTCTTTTTATAGCAGCTTCCTTTCTGTGAGGAAAGTTCTAACAAAGAGAATCATCCATCTTCTTTTATGTATTTTCTTGATCCTTACTTCTCTATTTATTCAGTTTTCTTTTTCATAGACTATCAGTCTTTTTTCCCAATTCTTAGCATTATAAGTCCATACTCAAAATACTTTTCTCATTTAAATGTTCCTCTAAAACTAATATATATTCTTTTGATTAAAGTCTCTGGTATACACACTTTGGAAAACTGTTAGGCAGTTTCTAGTAAAGGTAACACACCCCTACGCTAGAACCCAGCCATTCTAATCTTAAATATATACCCAAGAAAAATAAGCGTATGTGTCCACAAGGAGACATGTACAACAATGTTCATGGAAGGTGAAGCACAGTGGCTCATGCCTATAATCCTAGCACTCTCGGAGGCCAAGGCAGGTGGACTACCTGAGCTCAGGAGTTTGAGACCAGCCTGAGCTAGAGACCCTATCTCTAATAGTAGCTGGGCGTTGTGGTGAGCACCTATAATCCCAGCTACTCAGGAGGCTGAAGCAAGAAAATTGCTTAAGTCCAAAAGTTTGAGGTTGCTGTGAGCTATGACGCTCCAACACTCTATTGAGGGCAACAAAGTGAGATTCTCTCTCTCTCTCAAAAAAAAAAAAAAAGAATGTTCATGGCAATTTTATTAATAATAGGAAAATATCAGAAATAACTCAAATGTCTACCAACAGGGAAAGGGATATAATTATGGCATATTCATATAATAGAATACTACACAATACAAAGAAACACATTAGTACATAGTTGAATCTCAGAAATATTATGCTGAGTGAAAGAAGCCACATACAAATAAACACATACTGTACGAGCCCACTCATACAAAATTCAAAAACTGCCACAACTCATCAATGACGGCAGAAGTCAGAAGGGTGAGAACCTCCTATGGGAACATTACATGGATAAGTACACTAGAGAACCCATCTAGGTGGTCTAATTTTCTGAATCATAATTTGGGTGAAAGCTACACATGAAAACAATCACCAAGCTGTACCCTTAAAAGCAAAAACTAGTACATAAAAGCAAAAATAAAATGTAATATTAAAGAAATTAATTAAGAATTAAAGAACTCTACACTATAAAGTGGTAGAAAATAATAATCACACAAAAACAGTGAGCAAAAGATATCAAAAAGTAATCTGCAGAAGAAATAAAAATGGCCAAAAGTCATATTAAAAGATGCCTATCCAGTGGGCGGTGCCTGTGGCTCAGTGAGTAGAGCACTGGCCCCATATACCGAGAGTGTTTGAGTTCAAACCCGGCCCTAGACAAACTGCAACGAAAAAATAGCTGGGCACTGTGGCAGATGCCTATAGTCCCAGCTACTCGAGAGGCTGAGGCAAAAGAATCACCTAAGCCCAGGAGCTGGAGGTTGCTGTGAGCTGTGATGCCATAGCATTCTATAGAAGGTGATAAAGTGAGACTATCTCTACAAAAAAATAAAAATAAAAAATAAAATAAAATAAAAATCTGCCTTTATTAAAAAAAAAAAGATGCTTATTCTCACTAAAAATAGAAGTGATATAAATTAAAACAAGTATTACCTTAACACTTACCAGGTAGCAAATTTTAAGGTTAATAATAATGCCAAGAACATGGGAGAATAAGTATTCTAACACAGTATCTTAGGGATTCCATTTGATTCGACCTTTTTAAGTAGAAACTATACGGTATCCATCAATACTTCCTATGGGTACCATGCAATTTCACTTCTAAAGCCCAAAAGAATATTTACTACAGTATTGTTCGCAATAACTAAAATTTGGGGTGAGTAGTTACATAATTCACATCTAAACAAAGAACACTATGCAACCACTAAAAAGGAATATCTGAACTGAAACAGAATATCTATGATGTTATGTCACGTGAAAAAAAGTTACAATCCATATATCCACTAAGACCCCACTAGTACTGAATAAAACCAAAACCCTGTATGTGTATATAGACTTCTATATCTACATAAATTATATAATATAAAATTATAATTAAGTTCACAAATGAATATTATAAATTACATGTTACTCACATACACACATGCAGATGTTTACTGACAGACTATACTTTAGGGATCATTTCTACAGTACATTATTAGGCAAGTTTCTCTACTGCAACCTAGAAAAGTTTCTTTTATGATACATCTTTAAAAAAAAAGATGTGTATCAATTATCTCTTGAGTACTGAGACCTTGAAAAAGAGACTTTCAATTTTTATTTTATATATTTCTATAATGTTTGAAAATTTTAAAACAAGAATATATCACTTTTATAATTAATAAAATGGCCAAAATCAATAAAAAACATTTCTTCAGTTTCCTTTAATGGTCTCACCTGCAAGGCTTTTTCCTTCTCATTTGTCAGTTCCTGAGAGTGCTTATTTGTCAATGCTGCTGTGTGTGATGCCCATTCATTCCGTAACTTATCTAATTCTTGGATTTTTTCTGATAATGTCTATAACAGAGTTCAATATAAAATATTATGACAGTCTCCTGAATATGTTATACTTTTGATTATTACATGGCAATACTGACGAGGATAGTAAAGAAAATGAAATTACACCTCTTCAGGACATACTCAAAGGCTTTTCCTAGACAGATTTTGGAATTTGAGAAAACCAAGATTAGAATAAATGCAATCTTAGGTCAAGCTTAACTTCCTTTAAACTTTTCATTAAATCAGACTCTTTACCACCCAGTCCTCTCCTCCAGCATTCAGAAGTATTCCAACCCAGGGTGGAGCAAGTCAGTTACAAGGAGCAGTTCACTTATTATACATAAAACCCATAAACTCAGTCCCCAAAGGGGCCACGTTTTACAGGGATAACTTCTGCCTGAAGCTGGCACCTTGTCAGATACTTTGGCCCACAATTTCAAGGACAAGGGGGAGAAATATGGTAGCTATGACTGAAATGATACTAAGCCTATCAGAGAAATTAATTCTAAACACAAAAGAAGAAAGGGAAAGGTTTAGAAGACAAGAACCAAAAAGACCTCTGAGGATGGAGGAATGAGGTTAGGTAGAAAACTAACAAATGACAGACACTATACATTGTCTTATTTACTGACGACTTGGAGAGAACATGTCATATATCGAAGATAACAGAAATGTCTGGGTAGAATAAAACACCTAAAAGAAAAACCATCAGATTAACATAATTAACTGCTAAGGAGAGGCGGTAAAAAGGAGAGGAAATTCAACAGTGGCATGTTTTTAAGAAAATTACAAAAAAGCTTGGAAATGAGTTAAGAAGCAAGTCAGAAACATGTCTGGATGACTTAAAAAGAAAACATGAATCTTGAATTACCTTCTGTGTGAAGTTCAGTTGTCTAGTTACATCATCTAGTGATTGTATCAATGATAATTTTTCCTCCTATTTATAAAAATAGTAAAATGCAGTTTACAATTTAATCTTCTCTAGCTATGCTACTCAAAGTATAGCAAGTACCGCATCAGCATGATCCTGGAAGCTCGTTAGAAATGCAGAATCTCAGGTTCCATCTCAGATCTTCTAAATCAGAATTTGCATTTAACAAGGTCCCCAGATAATTTCTGTACCATTAAAGTTTGAGATGCCCTGATCTATAGCATTTGAGTAGAAAGACTTCCTAAAAACTCTCAAGCAACATCTCTAAGTCGTTTCCTTATGCCATATGCTTTATGTAGCACTCTGTAATTTTCAAGACATTTTCATATATTTTATGTCATTTAAGATGCGCTAGATAGGGTAGGTATTTCCATACATATCTACCAGTTGATGAAACTATGAGATGAGACTTTAACTGATCCGCCCAAAGTCACAGAAAATCAGTAAAAATTCTGGTGCCTAAGTTTCCCAATTCTTGGTCCAATTCAATACTTGGTATACGTTAACTAAATAAAAAACAATAAAATCAATTCATTAAATGTTATAAAACTTTATTTAGAAAACAAAAAGTTAAGGCAATGTAGCTCTTCAGTGATGCTGTAAAGATGTTTGTTACTTATTTTAAAAGAATAACTTGAATTTGAATCTTACCTTGCTACATTTCAAACAGTCAGCTAGAAATTTCTTTATCTCCACATCATTTCCAGGTAAAAGTTTTAGTGAGAGGTGTGTAAGATGTTTAAAAGGATTTGTTTCTACCACATTTAAAAATACAGGTGAGTTATCCAAAATAGCTGCTGAAGAAACTAACTGTAGCAAAAACCTTTGAAAAGAAAATGTTACATTGTAACACACTTATATGAGATTGTGAAAACCACTTCATTGAATCATAAACTTCTTCCTGTACTTAGAAAAATCAGAAAAAAGCACATGTTGAAATCATAGGGGCTGGGAGGTGGCGCCTGTGGCTCAGTGAGTAGAGCCTGGCCCCATATACTGAGGGTGGCGGGTTCGAACCCAGCCCTGGCCAAACTGCAAAAAAAAAAAATAGCCAGGCGTTGTGGCAGGTGCCTGTAGTTCTAGCTACTCAGGAAGCTGAGACAAGAGAATCACCTAAGCCCAAGAGCCAGAGGTAGCTGTGAGCTGTGACACCACAGCACTCTACCAAGGGTGACAAAGTGAGACTCTGTCTCTAAAAAAAAAACCCTCATCAAACACCACAGAAGTAACTGGGATACAAATTCCATAACTCTAAAAATGAACCATTTAAAAGCAAAAATTAAGCATTTATCTTTTCCTACATGAATTGTCAGAGTAATCAAATAGCCCTAATTGAGGAGGGAAAGTTCTTCTTTATAGAAGAATTATACTTAATATGAAAATTTATAGACTTAGAAAAACATTTTTTTATTTATTTAGAGACAAGGTCTCACTCTGTCACGTAGGCTAAAGGGCAGTAGATCAGTGGAGCCTTGAACTTCTGGACTCAGAAGATTCTCCTTAGCTCAGCCTCCCATCTAGCTGGGACTATAGGCATGCGCCATCACACCCAGCTTAGGAAATCATCATTTTGTAGTTACTAATGAAGTAACTAATTCAACAACAATCATGAAACCAATAAATTGGCTGGTTGATGATAAACTTTACAATGATACGATAAGGCACCACACACATACAAAATCTTAGTCTTCTTTTCCCAGATGATTATAGAAACATATTATAATAACAGATACTTCACTTTTTATTTTTAGGCAGAGTCTCTGTTGCTTAGGCTGAAATGCCTGTAGCATTAGCCTAGCTCACAGAAACTTCAAACTCCTGGATTCCACCAATCCTCCTGTCTCAGCCTCCTGAGCAGCTGGACTATATGCAGCTCCTATGATGCCCAGTTAATTTTTCTATTTTTAGTAGAGATGCAGTCTTGCTCTTGTTCAGGCTGGGTTTCAACTCCTGAGCTCAAGCAATCCACTCACCTCAGCCATCCACCCACCTCAGCCTCCCAGAGTGCTAGCATTATAGACATGAGCCACAGCACCTGGCCAAAACAGATACTTTTCAAAACATGAAAAATAAGGGGTATTTCTATTTTAATCAAGATTTCTTAAAGATTGAGACTTAACAGAGCCATAATCTCAGTTTTAAAAATAAATAGGGTTACTTATAATAGATGGAAAATATTTTGCCATCAACTTGTCTTGTGAAGAACCCATCTTGAAAGAAGTTTAAATGTAGTGCTGTCATGTGACTTACCTTGGAATTTCTTTGGCGTATTCCTGAGTACACTGCTGAAGGAGATCTATAAATTTTTGTGGGAAAGCTAAGAAGTCTACCAGAAGACCTTGCTGGAATTTTAAACTACACAGAAGACAGAAAAATAAATTTTTAAAAATTTAAATATTATCTGTAATTATAATTAACACTCTGGAAGACTGTTTTGTTAGTTACTGAATATCTGTTATAATCAAGAACTAAACTAGGGAACTTTGATTTTTATCAAAATTTCTTCAATCAAAAGAAAAAGGTCAACAAATTTAGCTACAGCTCCAAATTCTGGAGTTGCTTTAAGCAGATGATCCACAAGATATTTTCAAACATACCCTAAATAATTATAATTACTCTAAATAATAATACAAATAGTCCAATATCCTCAAAATAACTAAAAGTTCCCAATACATATGTGTTTCAAAGAGAACAATACCAACACATTTGTAAAACTTAGAAACTTAACTTATTCCTAGATTAAATATAAGGTGAGAAAAAAATTAATTACCTTTGAAAATCTTCTTCAGATATAACAAGATTATATAGAAAAAATGGATCTGTGTCATCAGTCAGACGGATAACTAAGTCCTGAAAGAAAGTTTGTTGTTTTTTAGTGTCTTCAGCAGATTTGGCATTTAGAGTAAATTCTTGGAAGTAAAGTAGTAAAGGGATCCAACATCATCAATCTATCACAGCCCTACTTTGTTTTCTGGTGCTGTTGGTTTTTTATTAGTCTTTAGAGAACTAGAATCTTAAACAGGGATAGATATTCTGTACCTTGATAGTCACATGAAGGTCTATAAAAGTTAATTAAATGCTAAGAGTTAAAAGTTTAGGAATATCATCCTATCAGAGGCTTAGGAAAATTTAGGCCCACCCCTTGCTGACCCAATGACAAAAATATTCTTTATGAACAAACATACTATTCAATTATACTTTCAGTTTCCTTCAAGTTAACTAGTCTAGCATTTCAAAAGTGGCAAATATAGCAGAACTGATAAACAGTCATCCACCCTAGAAAAAGAAGCAGCTTTTGTCTCAGGCACAGGACAGGGGTATCGGGTAACAAGTTGTCAGGGCTTCTTCTAAAGGGCCTATTCTCTCCACTTCAGGTGGCCGTTGATGTGGAATCCCATCTGTTTTTAGTCTCAAATGAAGCAGGCACCTTTCACAAAAGCCAGTTTCCATGAATTAAATTTATAGCACGGCAGATCATCACAGCAGCTCAAGCTGGCAAAAAGTGCACCAAAATTATGTACTTCAGAGAACACTGGTGAAAGGAAACAGGCTCTAGCTACAAGATGATGTAAGACTAATAAAGAACTCAGCACTCAGGTTAAAAACAAGCATGAAATACAATCTACTTGTGGCTACTAAGGAACTGGTAAGGTCCTAGAAAAATGTAGACTACTTATGAGCTAGAAAATGAAGAGGTACAACAGGCATGAGTAATAACATATAAGAAATATGATCTATAATCTCTACCTGGGGAAATGAGCAATCTGGGCATTTGCCTAAAAATGCCTGGTCTTGAGCACCCTTCTATTTAAGTACTTCTTGAAATTCACCCCAAGATGCTATTTAAAAAACTGAAGCTACTGCTAATACTACTCAGTCCTTGGATGTGTTCAGGGAAAGCTATGATGGAGAAATCAGATGCTGTATTTCTTACCCTCTACTCTACATCCTTAGTTCAGTTAATGGCTCTTACTTCTGAAGATCATATAGGACTGATGCTTTAAATGCCTCCCTTCAAAAGGTAAAGTAAAACATTCAAGAAAATCTCCCTTCAGTACTGCAATTTATTCTATTTTCACATTTACACCATGAAATGCTAAGGCAGCAATATATTCCAGCAAGTTGTTTTTGAAATGGGGTCTTGCTATGGTTTTGACTTCTAGTGATCCTAGAAGTGACTGCTATGGTTTATGGCTTCTAGTGATCCTCCTGTCTCAGCCTCCCACAGAGCTGAGATTATAGGTGAGAACCACACACGGCTCCTTTAGCAACTTGTAAGTTCACTGAGCACCTAAGAAGACGATCACCTCAATTTCTTCTTGTACGCTTTATATATGTGGCACAATTATCTTTTAATTGTTCTCAATAAACTCTACCACCCTAGATTTGCAGTATTTACAAGATGGCCTAAAATTATAAAGCAAGATGGGCATAACAAAAGATCTTACTTTTTTTTGAGATAAGACAAGGTTTCATTCTTGCTAATTTCTCTATTTTTTGTAGAGACCAAGGTGTTACTGATGCTCAGTCTCCAACTCCTGACCTTAACCAATCCCCTCACCTTGGCTTCTTCTCAAAGTGCTAGGATTACACGCATGAGCCCATGTCTAGCCAGATTTCACACTCTTAAAGAACAAAAGTAATTATCTATAATATACTGAAATTAACATATTTCAAAAAAGAAATAAATACCAACCTTTCTGTGAATCGGATTGGAAACTGATTGCAGTTCAATGCTCACTCTAACACTTACTCTCCTGTATGAAAAGACACATCCAGCCATCAGAAACATTCACATGAAATGAGTTATCATAATAATTTGCATGAACTAAAGTTTTCAGACTTAAACTACTAGACCTTCCACAGGTGTTGTCTACCTTACCAAGAGATGTTTGGAAAGCATATTGGTTTTGAAGTTTAAGTTTTCGTTTTTCCACTCATAACCTAATAGTCTTTAACCTAAGGCTAAATTGTCCTCATCTGTAAAATGGGGATGTTATGAGGATTAATGAGATAAACAATGTGGAGGACCTAGTACTAGCCTGGTGGACAACCTTACTGCCCTGCTTAATTCTGTGACGCCTCATAGTTTCGAAGATCATATGGGACTAAATAACACCTACTGAAAAAAAAAGTGAACAGAACCTGTTCAATTTTAAGTTATTCTTCTAAAGATTTGTTTTAAATCTTTTCCATACTTTACTATCTACTACTATGTCTACTAACGAGCATAGACATAGCAACTATTGACAGAAAAACTTAGAAACAATTGACCAAGACTAGATTCTATGGTTTAGATATTTTTATGTTCAGACCTGTAATTTTGTATTAGTTTAAATGTGTCCTTTTAGCTAAATTTCTTATTGAACATACAATTGGATGCTAAATCTTAGTTCATATGATGAGGTTAAATGTTACTGTAACTTGTATCTATAATCTGGAAAGGAACAAGAAGTACTGGTCTACATCACAAAGATAGGAAGAACTAACTTAAAAACAAGAGAAAATGCTGTTTCTCTTATTTTAGCATCTAGAGCAATGATTTTCAACTGGCATGCCGAGGCACACTGGTGTGCTGTGAAAAGTTTTAAATACCAATAATTAAATTATTTTTGAAAGAAATTCAAAACACATTAAGTATATTCTTTTTTTCCTAACTCTCTTTTTGATCAACACAATTTAAGTGTGCCTCAGAAGTTTAAATATAGGTTCTTACTCTTTTTTTTGATTAACATAATTTAAGTGTGCCTCAGAAGTTTAACTATAGATTCAAGTGTGCAGTTAAATAAAAAAGGTTGAAAAATACTGATCTGAAGCAATGTATGTGAAATAGATTAGGGTCCTACTCCAGTTCCACTTAAATTAAGCAGAAAAACTTTAAGTTTTAAATGCTTCAATTTCCTAATCTGTAAAATAAGTGAATTCAATCAGGCTTGTGAAGGCCCTGTAACATCATTATGTCTGGTTTTGATCTTTTCAAGTTTTTCCTTGTTTATACAGACATAGTGGTATGCTGCAATTGATACCTAACTTTAAAAGTCCTGTCATATTTCATAAATTTGAAAAAAAATTCAAGAAGCATCCTTTTATTTATTTATTCATTTTTTTGGAGACAGAGTCTCACTCTGTCACCCTTGGTAGAGTGCCATAGTGTCACAGCTCACAGCAACCTCAAACTCTTGGGCTTAAGCAATTCTCTGCCTCAGTCTCCCAAGTAGCTGGGACTTCAGGAGCCCGCCACAACACCCAGCTACCATTTTTAGAGATGAGGTGTCACTCTGGCTCAGGCTGGTCTCGAAGTCATAGGAGCTCAGGCAGGCAATCCACCCATCTCAGCCTCCCAGAGTGCTAGGATTACAGGTGTGAGCCACCATGCCCCGCTGAAGCATCCTTTTCATAAAGTATTCCTTATACCATTCTATTAGTTATATTACTATGATTAATTAACCAGTCATACTAATAATATTGTTGTAAATATTCCTATATGCATAGATGTTAGGAGAAAAACGGCCCATAAATTAAACTATTCCCCATGTTTACTTCAGAAAATAACCTCTAAAAACATAGATAAGTATGAACTTTCAGGAGCTATACTATCTGAAATCACCAATCTTATTATTTTTATTATAATGGTAGTCATAAGAACAACATAAAATTAATATAAACTCAATCAGAGACAATATTTCTCATCTCATAAATATCACACTCTGAACAATGCACAAATCTACATAATATCTTCCGTGTCAGATTTGTCTAGGTGTTCTTTTAAACTAAATTACCTTAAACATCAGGCATTAGCAGAACTAGATTCGAGTCCACCTCCGCCACCCAGAAGCTGTGACTTTAAACTCTCAATTCAAACAAATAAAAGCTACTCTAAGCCAGGTACTGTTAGAGATACAGAAATAAACATGGTCCATGTTCTCCATCTGAGATTAGATTAAATGACTTTCCCCTAGATTTGCTTCTGACTATATTAAGGGCTTCAAGAACGGAGAGAAAAGGGTTACTAACGCTGGAGTACCTACACTATTGAGTACCTGCCAGATACTGTACCTATATCATCACACTTAACAACAGCCATGTTAAACAAATACTACCTCTCTTACAAAGAAAGAACCTGAGGCTCACAGTTACATACTTGCCTAAGGTCACGTTGTAGAACTCAAATTAGAACTTAGATCTTTCACCTACATCATCCTATCTAATAAATGAATAAAGGCAATTAATTTAAACTGGCTACTTTGAAGGGTCCTTACAGGGAAGAGATTTAAGACACACCCCGAAGGTTACAAAAGAAAAAGGTTTTGAGGCAGAGGGAGCAGCAGGAGTAAAGGCATGGTATAGATAAGAGTATCAGATACATTCAGAAGATAATAAAAATTCTTGTGACAAGCTTAGGAAAAAAATTGAAAAATCAAGTTGGTATCAAACCACAGTTTTCAAAATTTTGAATCACTTTCCTCCAGAAACAGTTCCCTGATCATTACTACTGCTGCAACTGATTTCCTTCTCTATAACTTTAGTATATATACTTATATTACTTTACACATTAGTCATATTTTATTAATAGCTAAAGTTTTGTGAATGCTTATTATGCTCTAGGCACTGTTCTAAGCACTTTAATACATATTAACTCACTGCATTCTTATAATTCTATGAGGTAGCTACTGTTATCAATTTAAAGGTGAGACACAGAGAAATTAAGTAAATTGTACAATGTAAATCAGTAAGTGGCAGGACTGGCATTTAAAGCAGGCAATCTGGTTCCAGAGCCTGAACTCTTATGCTATGTGGTCTCTCTCCAAGGTAAATCTTTTAATTTCTCCTATTAAAGTGTGAATTCCTTGAGAGCCAGAATAATAATAGGTTTTTGTTGGGGGTTGAGGAAAGTTTTATATCCTTAGCACCTAGGACAGTTTCTGGTACATAGCAGGCATTTGCAAATACTTTGCTGAACTAAACTGGCCTTGAATACTTAACTAAAGAGTTAGGGTTGTTACTCCCATAGATAGGGTACAGCAAATTATTCTGCAAAAGGCCAGAACATAAATTGCAGGCCATAAGGTCTCTGTCACAATTACTCACCTCTGAATTTGTAAACAAATGAGTATGGCTATGTTCCAGTAAAACTTTTCTCACAAAAACAGTGGGCCATCTGGTTCATGGACTCTAGTTTATTGCCTCTCTATGGGTGATAGGAATATATGAAAGATTTCTAAAGATGAAGAAAGAAAAGGATAAAATTGTGTTTTAAGATTAATTGTGATGATGGCTCAGCGCCCATAGTACAGTGGTTACGGTGTCAGCCACATAGACCAAGGCTGATGGGTTCCAACCCAGCCTGGGCCAGCTAAACAACAATGACAACTACAACAAAAAAATAGCTGGGCATTGTGCTGGGTGCCTGTAGTCCCAGCTACTCGGGAGGCTGAGGCAAGAGAACAGCCTAAGCCCAAGAGTTGGAGGTTGCTGTGATGGCATAGCACTCTACCGAGGGTGACTCTGTCTCAAAAAAAAAAAAAAAAGATTTGGGCAGCACCTGTGGCTCAAAGGAGTAGAGTGCTGGCCCCATATGCCGGAGGTGGTGGGTTCAAACCCAGCCCCAGCCAAAAACTGCAAAAAAACAAAAAACAAAAAAACCCAAAAAGATTAATTGTGATGACAATGTAATGTCATGGAGAAAAGCTACGAGTTTCAACATTGGAATCAAAAGCAATGGCTCCCATTGTTCATTCTAGAACAGTGTTGCCCAATGGAGATAGCATTCAGGCCACAAATGGGAGAAATATACGTAATTTTAAATTTCCTAGAAGCCACAATAAAAAAAATTTTTAAAGCAGATAAAATTAATTTTAACAATATATTTTATTTATCCAATATACACAAAATATTACCTCTTTAACACATAAGAATTATTGACGATATTATATATCCTTTTTTCATAGTAAGTCTTCAAAATCCAATGTGTATTTTGCCCTTATAGCACATCAGCCCCCATTAGCCCCATTTCAAATGTCCAACAACCACATGTGGCTAGTGGCTACCATACTAGACAGCCCCAAATAATGACCAACCTAAATAACCCACAGATAACCATATGCAGCTGCTGGTTTTGGTATCATCTCCTTGACTTTGCTTTTGAACCTAACACTGCCATTGATTTTGAACCTAATTCCATATATTACATTTTTATATTGCTGGCAATTCAGTAAGACAGTACCTTCCTTTTTTATGTTACATTTCCACATCATTTAGTTTTCACATACATTTTCACACTTGATTCTCACTGCAATCATGTGGGTAGACATGTTAGAAAAGTATTACCAATAGAGGGAATACTGTTCAGAGAAAAAAAAGGGACAGCTATTGAGTGGTGGAACTGAGAAAAAAAAAATCTCCTGAATCTAGTTAAATCTCTCTATTTAAACCCCAAAAGCACAACCGCCTTAGTCAAAGTTGTAATTTTTCATTTATTTATGAGACTGGCCTTTATTTCCTCCATGACTATAAACTCCACGAATAAAAGAAGTGTTTGTTTGTTTTTTCTAACCACCGTATTCCCAGTACCCAGCAAGGTGTTTTACAAGAAGGCAATTATTTATTGAATAATTCAGTCGGCTAAATGTAATTTCCTGTTTTTAGGAACTAATGTGAAAAAGAGCCAAAACACACCATGGATTCTTTCTTTTTTTCTTTTAAGTTGAAGTTTAAATTTACTTTCATCATACTTTAAAGGAGCACCGGGGGCGGAGGGTGGGGCCTGGGAGTCAAGGCTGAGGGCTGGTGCTGACTTTGCCAAGAACTCGCTATGAGCCCTCGGTAAATTATTTTAACTTGGCTGGACCACAGTTCTTATCTGTCAAAAGGGAAGAGTGAGGCTGCCAACTCCAGGATCCCGTTCAGAGCTAGGACCTGAGACACTAACTTGATGGGAGTCGGCTTCCCATTTCTCCCTAGGCTTCCTTCGGTCCCTGCTGCGACGGCCGACCTGGCGAGGGAGGGAACCACTAGATCTCAGCCCGGTTTCCTAAGCGCGTTCTGGGGGGCCGGCTGCACTGGCCGGAACCGCCATCTTTCCCCATTGGCCTGACCACAACCGCCACCCGCGGGCACCGGCAGACGCGAACCTTACCTCTCTTCGCAGTCTTTGCATTTCACCTGCAACGGGACGAGTTGCTGGAACAGAACTTGGCTCATACTGGCCCGCTGTCCCGGCCGGTGTGCGGAAAAGCCCAACAGGCTCGGCCCTCGGAACTAGCCTGAGAGACGTCAGGTCCAGATAGAGTTTGAGTTTGGCGCTCGTCTCCCGGAGGAGGCGGGGAGAGAAAAACGGAGAGGAACGAAGGAAGTTTGGGCCCCGCCGGCCACCATCAGTTTCCTCCGGTTTCGTGGAGGATGGGACGAAAGTGGTTGCGGTACTTCCGGGCATTAACCTGTGTGCCGGGCCCCGAGGCAGCCATGTTTCTTAAGGGAAGGGGACCCGAAGAAAGCTGACAACTTTTCCTCTGCCTGATGCCCGCGTCCTGAACGGGCTTTAAGTTATGGCGGCCTCGGCGCCGACGCCGCCCGCGACTGCATTTCCAGCTGAGGGCAGATGCAGTTACTACGTGGAAAAGAAGAAGCGGTTCTGCAGGATGGTGGTGGCTGCAGGGAAAAGGTTCTGTGGTGAACACGCTGGAGCCGCGGAGGTCTGGTATCGCCTTACCCTCTCGAGAGTCGGAAATAAGTTTCCCGGTGTGGTCGGTGCTGGAACCCGACCCCTCCCCTCTTTGACAGGTTTCTGCTTCTGTCCCCTGCCTTCTCCAGCTTTTACTTTAATAAATGCAGTTTTGCTGTCCTTGCAGAGCGACGACGAACCCTAGTGAGGAACAGTGTTTTCTTTACTAAGTAAAGCGCCAGTAGTGACCCATTTATTTTGATCCTAATTCATGGTATTCTTAAATTTTAGTTTTACTGCAAACTACCTCTGCTTACACTGCGCTCACCCTCCGCCTCCCTGGTGGAAAGTGGAAGTTTAAAGCAGTGCCAGAAGTCCCCAAGTTTCGCTAATTGTGTTCTAATTATTGTCTTCTGAACGAGAATAACTTCTTGTGGGTACGGTTAAAAAGAAACTTCCTTTAAAATTTTTTTTAGACTTACCAACCTCTAAGAAGTAATTTATAACTATTTGCCGGAATGGGAAAGGAAAGATTTTAAAATATAAGAATTTTTAAAATTGAAAACTGAAAACAGTTTTGTTTGATAGTAGTTGTACATATAAATTGTACTACCGAACACTATATATTTGTACGTGTCTGTATTACTTTAAGATACGTAACATATGTGATAGTAAAATAAAAATAAAAACGAGTAATACAATGCTGGTTGAAAAAGAACATGTCTAATTGAATTAGGACGAATAAACCAAATAGATCAGCATTGGGTTTCACCGCTTCTGAATAGCCAGTATTATTTGCATTATTTTCTTTCTTCATCATTTTATTTTTCTAGGTAATATCCAGCACAGATCAGTACCCTGATCTATCCTCACCCTTCATCTATTTCTGTCAGACTTAGCCATAGCCTACTTCCTAATTTGGCTTGACTGATCTGTAATTAGTCAAGTGGCAAAGCACACCGAAACAAGGACATTCTTGTTTTGAAGTATGGGAGATGTGACTTACTATGAGGACTCTTTGAAGTATATCCACAGTTGTATTGACTGGTTTTTAGGGGAGGAGCAAATATCTCTTGGTTGAAGAATGAGATTTGTGATAGGAGAAGGATTTTGTTCCCACTCTTTTACAAGCCCTTAGTCTTCACTTTATCGAGACATCTAGAAGGTGAGTGCAGGTAATGATAGTAGCAGAATATGAGTAAATCCTTACAAGCTGATCAGCATTCCTAGAGAGGAGTGACATATTATTAGTTTCTTTTTTTTTTTTTAATTGAATGGTAACTATGTACATTAATGCACTTCTGGGGTACAGTGTGGGGTTTTCACATGCAATCTGAAATACTTCCATCAAACTGGTCAACACATCCTTCATGTCATTTTCTCAGTTATTGTCTTAAAACGTTCACTTTCTACTCTTAGAAAGATTCACTTGTACCCCTATAAGATAAACCTCAGAAGTGATCCCTCCAAACCCCCTCCCTCCACCCATTCCCCCCTCCCTTCTCCCTCCCCCTTCCCCATATTCTTAGGCTATTTGGTTATAGCTTTCATATAAAAGGTATAAATTAGTTTCATAATAGGGGTGTGTACATTGGATACTTTTTCCTCCATTCTTGTGATACTTTGCTCAGAAGAACATTCTCCAGCTCCATGCATGTGAACATGAAGGATGTAAAGATATTATTAGTTTCTTGAAGAAAGACTGCAAAACAAGTAGAAAGACTTTTCATGACTAAATTTGGTTTTGAATTGTAGCCATCTCCTTGAATCTGTAATTCATGATATAGTCAAAGCGTTTCCAGCTTTTTCTAAGTGTCATTTATAGCTGTGATGGCTCCACTTTTATTCATTTTTACCAAGTAATTCTCACTTGGGAGTGATTTTGCCCCCAGTGGATAAATCTGAAGATATTTTGGTTGCAACTAGAGAGTATTCCTGGCATCTAATGAGCAGAAACCAAAGATGCGACGAGACCTCCTAAGAAGCGCAGGACAACATTACCCCGCTTCCCACCTCAAAAAAAAAAAATTATCTAGCGCAAAACTTCAATAGTGTCAAGGTTAAGAAACCCTGTTTCTAAATACAAATAATAAATGTGCTTTTTTCCCTGCTCTACTCTTTTTAGGCTGTGGTTGTTAAAATAGTCTTCTTTTACATGGAGCTTAGGTTTTAAAGTCAGCAAATAAGAAATAAATAATGTATGGTACTTTCACAAGACTATCAAAAATTTCTTAGCTTTTCAACGAAATTCAATGTGCATAGCTTCATGGGTATGAAATAAGTTGAAAAAAGAATGATAATAGCAGCAAATACTTGGCATTACTACACGGCCAGTACTGTGCTGGGGCAGTTTTATTTTTGTTTAACTATTAGCTCACTTAATTTTAACAAGCTTTAGGAAATAAGACATTACTATTCTCATCTTTTAAATAAGGCACTAAGGCTACATAAGGGTTAGTGGCTGACAGAGCTGGGGATCATACCAAGGCCGTCTGGCTAACCTATAGTTTTAACTGTTAGACTATTCTGTTTTGTACAGATTCATATAGGCAGAATTACCAACACTATTAAATTTCCTTTCTTCCTTTCAATGACAGACTGCATATACAATGGTGGTCCCATAAGATAATAACTAATACCATATTTTTACTATGCCTTTTATATGCTTAGACACATAAATATTATACTTACTGTGTCACAGTTGCCTAGAGTATTCAGTACGGTCATAAACTATACAGACTGTTTTTCCTTTGCCACAAACCTGTAATGGCCATCATATAGCCTCTGTATATTGTAGGCTATGCTATCTAGATTTGTGTATCTCTGAACAGGAAAATCACCTAAAGATGGTTCTCAGAATGTATCCCATCATTAAGCAATGCATGACTGTAGTTAAATCCATGAACTTAGTAATGAACAGAACTACTATACTGAAAAGTTACAAAGCCAATAAAATATGGCATATCCCAAATGGATAAATACCATGTTTTATTGTTTCCAAGCAACTTTTAAAAAATAAGTTTTGGCCGGGCATGGTGGCTCGTGCCTATAATCCTAACACTCTGGGAGGCCAAGGCTGGTGGATCACTTAAGCTCAAGAGCTGGAGATCAACCTGAGCAAGTGCAAGACCCGATCTCTAAAATATAACCAGGCATTGTGACAGGTGCCTGTAACCCCATCTATTCAGAAGGCTGAGGCAAGAGTATCACTTGAGCCTAAGAGTTAGAGGTTGCTGTGAGCTGTGATGCCACAGTGCTCTACTGAGGGTGAAAAAGTGAGACACTGTCTCAAAAAAAAATAAATAAGGCTTGGCGCCTGTAGCTCAAGTGGCTAAGGCGCCAGCCACATACACCAGAGCTGGCAGGTTCGAATCTGTCCTGGGCCTGCCAAACAATGACAACTACAACCAAAAAAAATATCCAGGCGTTATGGCAAACACCTGTAATCCCAGCTACTCGGGAGGCTGAGGCAAGAGAATCGCTTAAGCCCAGGAGTTGGAGGTTGCTGTGAGCTGTGACACCATAGCACTCTACTCAGGGCAATAGCTTAAGGCTCTGTCTCAAAAAAATAAAATAAAATAAAAATATGTTTCAACATCTGTGATATGATGCATCTTAAAATCCATATGCTATCATTTAAATGGACAGCCTGTTCCACAAAAAGTATTTGAGATAATGCCTATTTAGCTCAATTGCCTTTATACAATGTATATATATAAAACATACTGTACATTGTCTATGTAATTTTTATTTGCCAATTAATATATAATAGCATTGATTCTTCTTGGTGGTACATAAAATGGTAGTACATATCTTAGTCAATGTTATCTAAGATTCTAAATTTCATATGTAGGCCTCTCTATAACCTATCTGAAGCTATAGACCCTGGTTTCTCCAAAGCAGTCTTTATTCGTATCTACATAAGCTAGCTACCCAAGAGATTTTTATTGTTTCCTGATTTTACCAATTTTTTATGGTCTTTTATACTTTCCTTACCTTGTTTTGAGAGTAAAGAGACAATGAATTAGTTACTTCTAGTATCTGTAAGTAATAAACTTGACATTTTCTTGAAATAAATGTGTCTCTCTTAATTTATTAGGAAGAAGATGCCCGCAAAAGAATCTTGTGTCCTTTAGATCCAAAACAGTAAGTATGGATCAGATAAAAGTTTTTCTGTGCTGAAAACAGTAATTGTCACAATCTTATTTTAAATAATTTTCTCTTTTAATTTAGTACAGTATATGAAGATCAACTAGCAAAGCATTTGAAAAAATGTAACTCAAGAGAGAAGCCAAAACCTGTAAGTATTTAAACATTAAAATTGGTGAAATGTCTGATATGTGATGATTACATATATACTAAGTAAATTATAAACGTGTATATTTAATAAGACTCATGCAGCTCGGCACCTGTGGCTCAGGTGGCTAAGGGACCAGCAACATACACCTAAAGTGGTGGATTCGAATCCAGCCTGGGCCCGCCAAACAACAATGACAGCTGCAACCAAAAAATAGCTAGGCATTGTGGTGGGCGCCTGTGGTCCCAGCTACTTGGGAGGTGGAGGCAGGAGACTCGCTTGAGCCCAGGAGTTGGAGGTTGCTGTGAGCTGTGATGCCACAGGACTCTACCCAGGGGGACAGCTTGAGGCTCTGTCTCAAAAAAAAGAACTTGGTGCCTTTAGTAGAAAGAGAGAATGTTGGCTTTGCTTATAGGTATTTTCCTTAGCTAATTGCCAGGTTTCAGTTAAAGTAAGCAAGTATTCTTGGGAAAGTTTGAGAGAAGAGGTAAATTTATTAAAAATGGAGTACCCTTGAGTGAGTTGCATTGCATGCCATCACACAGTGGCAAAGAAAAGGAGAAAAGCAGCAGGTTGATGAAAGATAGAAGAAAGAAATGTGGAGGAGTATATATCTGGTACACTATGTAGAATAGGAATGTTGGATCCCAGGTAAAGGCTTATTATCATTCTGCTCTACTTTGGGGCACTGACCATTAATTTTCTTTTTTTTTTTTTTTTTTTTGGCAGCCTCACTCTATCACCCTGCGTAGAGTGTTGTAGCATCATCATAGTTCATTGCAACCTCATTCTCTTGGGCTCAAGCAATCCTCTTTCCTTAGCCTCCCAAGTCGCTGGGACTATAGGCACCCGCCACAACACCCAACTATTTTTACTATTTTTAGTAGAAACAGAGTCTCACTCTTGCTCAGGCTGGTCTCAAACTCCTGAGCTCAAGTAATCCACCCTGCTCAGACTCCCAAAGTACTAGGATTACAGGCATGATCTATAGCACCCAGTTCTGGTCATCAGTTTTTTAAAACCTTTTTTTATATTAAATGAAAGGAAGTTGGTAATAAATCACTAATAGAAATAATTTTCACGGCTCAGTGCCTGTGGCTCTAGTGGCTAATGCTCCAGCCACATACACCTGAGCTGGCAGGTTCGAATCCAGCCTGGGCCCACCAAACAACAATGATGACTGCAACCAAAAATATAGCCAGGTGCTGTGGCGGGTGCCTGTAGTCCCAGCTACCTGGGAGGCGCAGGCAGGAGACTTACTTGAGCCCAGGAGTTGGAGGTTGCTGTGAGCTGTGGTGCCATAGCCCTCCACCCAGGGGGCGACAGCTTGAGGCTCTGTCTCAAAAAATAATAATAATAATAATTTTCACATTGAAAACCCTTATCGAGGCTAGGCGCCTGTGGCTCAAGTGGCTAAGGTGCCAGCCACATACACCTAAGGTGGTGGGTTCGAATCCAGCCCAGGCCCACCAAACAACACTGATGGCTGAAACCTAAAAAAATAGCCAGGCATTGTTGCAGGCGCCTGTGGTCCCAGCTACTTGGGAGGCTGAGGCAGGAGACTCACTTCAGCTTAGGAGTTGGAGGTTGCTGTGAGCTGTGATGCCACGGCACTCTACCCAGGGGACAGCTTGAGCCTCTGTCCCAAAAACAAAAAAAAAACCCCTTATTGACAATATAAGTTATCTAGAGGACTCTTTGTAACTATTTTGAACCTGAAAGTCCATCAGATTCTAATAGGTACAACTAATATTCTGTTATTGTTTTATTGGTCATCCAACAAAACACTGTAATTGCTGCAGCCTTCACCCATTCCACTTCATTACATTGTCTTTCTGCCATCAGTGTTACAGAAGTCCAGTACCCTGCATAACATAATGTCCCCAAGAGTTGTTTTCACGTTTAAAACAGGATCTGTAGAAATAGTACTATTTCATTGATGTAGATCTGTGCTATTCAATATGGCAGCCACTAACTGCATATGACTATTTAAATAGGTGTTAATTAAAACTAAATAAAATTAAGAGTCCATTCCCTCAGTCATTCTAGCCATATTTCAAGGCCAGTAGTTATCATGTTGGCTAGGACAGATATTCAATATATCCTTGCAGAAAGTTTTATTAGACAATACTAATATAGATCCTTACTGGCAATATATATCTCTAAAGGAGTACTAGAAAGATCTCATTATATTAATTAACAGTGTCACAGGAAGGACATTTATGTTTTCAATTCTTAATTAATATTTTAAAGTAGAAGAAATCAGACTTGATACCATTGTGATATCAGTACTTAATTTTGGTCATGCTGCATGTCTGGTAAACTGTATTAGGTAGTTGGTACTTTGTTGTTGTTGCTGTAATGCCATAAAGGAAAATTAGTGTAGTCCATAGTCTATTCTGTAAACAGGTGAAAACTTCAAAAAATGTACCAATGAGTTTCTTTAGACAGTAAATACTCATACAAATAACCACCTCACTAGAATATAAGACCCATGGATGTGGAGGTTTTTGTCTCTTATCCACTGTGATGGATGCCTAGCATGTAAGGGAAATTAAAGACTAAAGTAGTTATTCAGTAATGATTTAATGAACAAATGAAAGAAGGCAGGATGGCAGATACAAAGTATGGGATGAAGGGAGGAAGTTTTTCAGCTTAATTTTTGTGATCTTCAGATTGTTAACAGTATTGTTTTGTTTTTGTAAAGGATTTCTTTATTCAAGATATTAACGCAGGCTTAAAAGATGAAGTGGAAATACCTGAACAATTAGTAAGTACATTGACTTAATATTTAATTTTAAAATGTATTTATAAACTGTCTCTATGTTGTGAATAAGCCATGTTTGCAATTTTTATTCCAAATAAAACTATCACTTTGAATTTAGAACGCATTTTCTTACAGAACCAATGTCGTTAGTCTGAGAACCAGCCTATGCCCCATAACAAGACAAGCTATAATATGGTCCTAAGTCCCATTTGATTTGAAATTGTTCTGAGCCTGGACTTGTTCTTTACCTTGAGGAGGTTAGGTGAATTAAAGTACCATGACAGAGACCGAGCAGAGGCTTAGCAGTTGGACAGTTCTGATGGGAGCTTAGGGAAAAGGCTTTATCAGGAAGAAGAACCTAAGCTGCGTGGGAATGACCCAGCTGTTAGGCCTCTACTCAGTCTCTATCCTGATACTTGAAAGCATTTTTTGGCTACATTATTTAGTTTTATTTTTATATATAGGTTCCAATTTCTTGTCTATCTGAAGAGCAGTTGGAAAACTTAATTAAGAAATTAAGAAAAGCCAGCAAAGGTAAGTCTGCCTAAAGTTGCAAGTTAAATTATTTTAGAGTAATTAGGTGGTGTATTAGTTGCTACCATTCTGGCTTGAAGTATGTTTCTACTGTTAATTCAAAGTCATCCAGTTTCATGTTTGGTTGCTTAAGCTGTTGCACTTATATTTGACACAGGTTTGAATTCTACACTTAAACACCACATTATGTCCCATCCAGCTTTACATGATGCCCTTAATGATCCTAAAAATGGTGATTCTGCAGCCAAGCACCTGAAACAGCAGGTACGTGTGGGCTACAGTGACCCTGCAAGAAAGGGCCTTTGTTCATCTGTTAAAGGCCTTCTAATTGTAGTTATTAATGACATTTTATTTCACTTACTTTTGAGGGTACAGAAATGTTTCCATTTCAGAACGTATATATAAACATACATAAAAAATTAGGGGAATAGATGAGGTTCTGAGTACCACGTATTAAATATTTAAGGAGCAAGAGAAAAAAATTTAAGGCCAAATGAAATTTTCAGTGTGATGTGCATGCTGTCTTTTGTACCTTGCTGTTTTCCCTTTTGAGCTAAATGTGTTTGCTCTAGTTTATAAAATAATCTTGTGAAGTTTGCAGGCTTCTATTTTAGGTAACATTGAAAAATTAAAGTTACTTGGTCCAAGAAGATGCTTCGTGGAGTTTGGAGCAGGAAAGGGAAAATTGTCTCACTGGGTGGATATTGCCTTAAAAGATGCTGAAAAAGTTCACTTCATCTTAGTAGAAAAGGTGACCACAAGATTCAAGGTAGGTGAAACCATTACAGTATATTAGTAACCAAATTTTGTTTGCACTTTTCTTATTTGAAAAAAAAATGACAGAGACATATCTCTTAAAGAAAATAAGAGAATAGGAGAAAAAAAAAAAAGGCAGGGTGCAGTGGCTCACGCCTATAATCCTAACACTCCAGAAGGCCCAGGTGCATAGATTGTTTCAGCTCAAGAGTTTGAAACCAGCCTGAGCAAAAGTGACACCCCGTCTCTGAAAAAGAACTGAGTGTTGTAGCAAGCACCGATAGTCCTAGCTCCTCAGGAGGCTGAAGCAAGAGGATCACTTGATCCCAAGAATTTGAGGTTGCTGTGAGCTATGATTCCACAGCACTCTATCTAGAGCAACAAAGTAAGACTCTGTCTCAAAAAAAAAAGGAAAAAAAAGAAAATAAGAATTTTCTGGGCAGCGCCTGTGGCTCATTGAGTAGGGTGCTGGCCCCATATACCAAGGGTGGCAGGTTCAAACCCAACACCGGCCAAACTACAACAACAACAACAACAACAAAAAATACCTGGGCATTGTGGTGGACACCTGTAGTCCCAGCTACTCAGGAGGCTGAGGAAGAGAATCACCTAAGCCCAGGAGTTGGAGGTTGCTGTGAGCTGTGTGACGCTGCCACAGTACTCTACCGAGGGTGATAAAGTGAGACTCTGTCTCTACAAAAAAAAAAAATTTTCTCATTTGTCTATTTGATTATAGCTCTTTATCAGTTCTAATTGTATTTATGACTTGTCTTAAACTAGAGATAATTTTGTTGGTTTTATTTTAAAATATTAAGGGGGTAAAAATGTTACAAAGATAGCTTGTATTGATGCCTTAGATCAGGGCTTTTGATATGTCTGTCACCAGAATAGTATTCGTTGTACCAAATAAGTTTTTAATCCCACACCTTCCCTCTCAGGCTCCCCCTTCTCAGTTTCTAGGGTCCTTGATGCCTCTGCATCCATATGTACCCGACATTTATAAGGACTGAGGTGGTTTGGTTTTTCCATCCCTGAGGTACTTCACTTAGGATAATAGACTCCATTTCCATCCAAATTGCTGCATCTGACATTACTTTCCTTATTATGGCCAAGTAGGACTCTATGGTATGTGTATGTTTGTACACACCACATTTTCTTTTTTTTTTTTTTTTTTTTTTT